CTACACAAGGTCTCAAAACCACAATGGGAGTCTGGTAACACCAAAGTCAACTTCTGGTCAAATCTATAAATTCTTCAATTCTTCAATTTGTTAACTTTCGACAAATAGAGCCAAAACCTTCTAGGAATATCCAAATTCAAAACTAAACATATGTCATGTCCAAAATCACCATACGAACCTATAGAAACCATCAAATCTGATTCTAATATCGTTTACTTAAAAGTTAAACTTTGGTCAACTCTTCTAACTAAAAGCTTCCAAATTGAGAATTACTCTATCAAACCATTCCTGAACTTCCCGAAAATCAAAACTAACCATACACACAAGTCATAATACATCATGTAGAGCTACTCAATAGTCTCAAACCACCGAACAAAATGCTATCTCTCAAATCGACCAGTTGAATCGTTATAATACTCTACAATAATTTGAAGTATACCCATGAATAATTGAAAATGTTCAAATATATTTCTACGTGACTTCTACTACGACAGAAAAATCAGACTATTTTTTTTACCGCAAAAAATCGTTAGTAGGAATATGAGGGTGTTTGGCTAAGTTTATAAGCTGGTCAAACTGGCTTATAAGCACATTTTGGCTTATCTATGCGTTTGGTAAACACCCAAAGTGCTTATAAGCTTAAATAAGCCATAAGTCATAAGTTGGTCACACCCAACTTATGACTTTTCAGCTTATAAGTACCTTTAATTTGACCAATACTTTACTAGTTTATCCTTAATAATAATTTCTAATTCACAAAATACCTTCCCAAAATAAATTTATTAACTTTCTCTTTATTCCATAGTCATTGTTAATTCTTTTTTTTTACAATGAAATTTTTTAATTTATAATATTTTGAAAAATAATTCAAGGTTATTTTAGTCATTTTAACAAAAGAATAGCTTATCAGCACTTTTTAATCAAACACATCAACTACTTATTATCAGTTTCAGCACTTCTATCCAAACATGTAAATGCTTATTTCAAAAATCAATTTCAGTACTTAAAAAAATTTCAGCACTTCAAGCTTATCATCTATTTACAATCAGCTAATCCAAACAGGCTCTATATTTGAGACGTCTTTATCAGTCAGAAAGATAACACACGGCAATCATAAGGCAAATTGCAAGCCTCAAGGGAACATTTGGACGTTTTCAGATACATTTCTGCAAACTTGTAGCACATAGTTTCTTTTCTCTTCTTTTCTGGATAGCGCACAGTTTCTTGCAAAGTTTAGATAAGCTACACGCTAATTGATAAATTCAAGAGATAACCGGCTGATCCTAATCGGGCAGTTAAAGCGAGCGAATATGATAAATCCTTCCTGCCTCTCATTCATATGGCTGTCCAACGGGACGGGACGTCCCATTCCGTTCCGGTCCCGTTCAGTCCCGCTTCAAGTTAAACTACTTGAAGCGGGATGAGCCAATATTAAACGAAATACGGAATGGGACGGGATGGTCATTTCGTCCCGTTTCGTCCCGTCCTGCGTNTAACTTTCAAGTTTCAAGTATTTGGGCAAATTTTTTGGAGCAACTTTCAAGCTTCAAATTAATTAGTCAAGTATTTGGAGCAATATTTTGGGCAATTTCTTCAAATTTCAATATTTAATCACGGCGTACTCGTTCCATCTCCTAATTTTAATATATAATTTTTGCGTATCATTTTAGTGCTTAATTTTTGTGTTTACTTTACGTGTTCTATTTTCATATTTCATTTGTGTGTTTAATTTTTGTATTATCTTTTTAAATTTAATTTCGTATTTAAATTATGGCACCTAAAAATGTATTTGGCATTTTTTAAAAAAGTAGTAAAAAAATAGTAAAGGTGAAAATAGTAGTAATCCTAATCCTAGTCATAATCCTAATTCTTCTCCTAGACCTAGAATTAGAAAACATATAGATGAAATGACTCATGTTGATAAAACTTCATTTTCCCAACCCCCGCATTTTATGATGTTCATGTCGGAGAACAACTAGATCATGAAACTTTACAACGGCAATTTGGCAATGATATTTTTTTTGAGGACGAAGAAAATGAGGATGAAGAAAATGAGGAAGAAGAATTAGATGAAACACCCACTAGTCCTGCAACACAAACTCCAACTCAGAGGCAATTTCAGCCTAGAGCTTTACCCCTTGTACCCCCTATAAGGGGTAAGCCTAAGGCTGAACGTGCCAAAACACCACTTGTATGGAAATTTTTAAACATGATAAAGTCAATCATCGTGCTATATGTGAAAAATGTAAGCAACAATTTGCACACACAACAAGTGGTGGGACGAGGGGTTTAACTAGACACTTAAGAAGGGATCACAAATCTTTATGGATACAAGCTAACATAGAAGCCGAAAAAATTATAGATCCTACCATCAGTACTGGCACTCCTAGTGGATCTGGTTCTAATCAAATTCAACAACAACTTGACCCTGCTTCTGGTCATGTTATACACCCATATAACAAAGATAGAGATCGTGAGAACTTAACAAAATTGGTGGTTATCTGTTGCTTACCTTTTACTTTTCCTTCTCATCCTGCTTTTGTGCATTATATACAAGAAACTTATAACCCTGTTTTTCAAGGTTTTCCTAAGACCACGGTTAGAAATGATATTTTTAAATTTCAAACCTAATATCTTCAGCATATTCGTTGTATATTTTTTCACTTAGATTGTAAAGTGTCTATCACATCTGATATAGGTGGTAGTCCTAATGGTTGTGATTATTTAACTGTTACATGTCATTAGATTGATCATCACTGGAACATGCAAAAACTTATTATTGGTTATAAATTTGTTGATTCAAAACACACTGGAGCATATATTGCAACTACTATTCTACAAATACTTATTTTTATGTACTCATTGATAAAGTTTTAACTATCACCTTAGATAATGCTTTTGCTAACACAACCGCAGCAAATAGCTTAAAATCTAAACTTTGTCCAATTAATCTAGCAATTTTTCATGTTAGATGTGCATGCCATATTTTTAACTTGATTGTGAAAGATGGTCTTAATTTATTTTCTGATGCTTGTAGTAAAATACAACATGCTTGTGGCTATATTTTTTGTGCTCATAAATAAAGTAGAATTCGTGAATTTGCTCAACAATGTGCTAGTGCTAACCTTCCATTTAGAAAAGTTCCAAAAGATGTTTGTACTAGGTGGAATTCTACTTATGAAATGCTTAAAGTTGTTTATGATTATCGGGTGCCTATCCAAAATGTATTTAATATGCATAATGGTATCACCGCTGATCAAATTGTTGATTCTGATTGGGATGAGATCAAAGAGCTTACCAAATTTTTAGAAAAATTTTATTGTGCTACAAAATAATTTTCTTATATATATTATCCTACTGTTACACAAATATTATGGTATATTTGTGAATTTTTGTTATATTTGGTAAGTATAAAACAAATCCAACTTATGCACCGGCCATTAATGAAATAATTTCAAAATTTAAAAAGTACTTTTTCCCTATTTCAGAAGTTTATTTAATTTCTACTCTACTTAACCCATCTTTAAAACTAAGAGGTGCAAAGGGACTTGTTCGTAAAATTTATGAGAATTTAGCAATTCAAGAAAATGAACAACAATCTCTCGAAGACTGCCATGCTAGCATATATTCTTATGCTAGATCAATGTTTGATAAATATAAATCTATGGATACACCAGGTTGTGAAACTACTCCTTCTACTTCTAAGTCTAGAGCAAAAGTTTTATGGGAAGATATGGATGATATAACATGTTTTGATTCCTCTATTGATGATGAATTTGATTCTTATCTTAATCAAGGATTGAAAAGTATTAAAGACGAAGAAGGCAAGGAACAACTTTTGTCATGATGGAGGGAGTGTGACAAGGATTTTCCAACACTTTCAATAATGACCCAAGATATCCTGGCTATTCAAGCATTATCAGTAGCATCAGAGAGTGCTTTTAGCGCGGCAAGATTTCAAATTAGAGATCATAGACATGCATTAGCGGAGGATAGTCTAGAGATTTCCATATTATTCAGAGATTGGATTAATTCAGAAAGAAGAAATCTTGGTTTTGAAAAATTAACCACTAGGGAAGAAGAAGAAGAATACAATGAGATACTTACCACTGGGAGCGATGACGGCATAGAGCTCATGGAACATCAATCAACATTGTCAATTCCAGCAGAATGTCCGAGAGATATTATTGATAAGTTACAAAGAAGCTATATAGGAACTTACAAATATTAGTATGATAATTTGTAATTGGCTACTAAGAGGCCTAGTTCAAACAGAACCATTCCTAGAAGGTGGCTGCGTAGATTAGGTGCTCTTCAAAAGAATTATATTTGTATTTGAGATTTGAAAGTTCTATTAATAAAATAAAAGGCTCTACGCGTTGAATTTTTTTTATGAATTGTCTTAGTTACTTAATAGTTAATACTTTGAAATTATATTAAATAAATTGCAACTCTATTATAAATTTATAATTACTAGAATATTTCATTACAAGTCTTTTGTTTTAATATTTTTATAATTCTTTACTTAGTTTTCTAATTTTCGTTTTAACATAATAACATTTAAGTTTATTAAAAAACTAAATAAGTCAAAAATCTAGCTGTTGCAAACTTTAAAAATATAGTAATTTTTAAAAAAATTAGACGTTTTTTTTTAAAAACAATACACTTAAGGCCCACGAACCCGTCCCGTTCCGTCCCGTCCCATCTCGTTTGTTAGCGGGACGGGATGGGACGACCGTTTTGTCCCGTTTGTCCCGTCTCGCGATCGTCCCGCTTAAATGTCATCCCGTCCCGTCCCGTCACGTTAATTTCGTCCCGTCCCGTTGGACAGCCCTACTCTCATACGAATCAAATTAAATTAATGCATGCATGGTACATATGATTTTTTCAAATAATTGGTTGTTCTTCAGACATATTTTAAAGCATCGTAACATGATGTCTAATACACAATTTCTAGAAGAAACCTACTATTATTCACTTATTTTTATATTTCATGCAAGTTTGCAATAACATGTCTGTACATTAAGTCAAGAAAAATAACAATTTCAAAAATTAATGTACATGACTTTAAGAATCATAGCAATGGTTCCTAATCAAATAAGAAAATTAGAAGAAGAAAAAATGACTCCCATGCTGTCACTAATGTTACTCAAAATTTTGATGCAGACATCACGGATGGCCAAGTTTTCTTTTTCCCCTTCGACAATGCCTGTTGAAATTGCCAAACCAATGATACCCACACATGACACACACACAAGATCTTGTAGTCTCTGCCCAAGGAAACCCCCCCTTATTTTCTTGTTCACTTCTGGAGCTAGCGTTCTATACATCCCTCCACTCCTTATATTGGCATTTGACCGGTGCACAACACTTTATGAGACATACCTAACTAGCACAATGTAACAAAATATACACCTAAATCTATTACTACCTCTGTCTATGCTACTAGTTGACTAAGCTGTGCCAGAACCACTTGTAGGGGAAATGAACACACCCAAACCAGCCAACGGAGTTCTCAGATTATTGTGTCAAGGTAGGAATAATTGTGGCGGCGTCCAAACTCAAGGAGGCTACCATATGTACGATCCCAAACTCCAACGAACAGTGACTCTGTATCAGGGCTGAAAGACATGCCAGATATCTCACCGAAAAAATCAATTTCTTGCTCCTCCTCATACCCACTTTTTACATCAAAAACATGGACGAAATCCGCAGGCTCAGCCATAGCCATATATCTGCCATCAGATGTGTAGCGGATCGACCGAATAGCTCCAAGGTTACCCTTCAAAGCAGTGACTGACTTGGATAAGTTCCGCAAATCCCATATTCTGCAGGTTTTATCCTGGTTCCCAGTTGCAAAAGTTATGCCATCAGGATGCCATGCTGATGCAAATGAGTAGTCTACATGTCCACACAAAGGTGCAACAGTCTGCGAGTTTCATTATCCGACAGCTATCAGACATTGAATGTCGATGATTTGTATCACAAGAGGAAGAAATAATGTGCACTTACCTTTCCGTTCCTCGAGTCAACTAATATACCTTCAGGATCATCCCCAACTACTACGAGAAGCTTACCATCAGGGCTCAGTGATGTATGCTAAGATCATAAAATAGGAAAACAAAGTAAACAACGTTAATATGCAAAATGAAGACAATAGCCTTATAAAAAGAGTTGATCAAGATAGAAAATGTATTATTCCACGTAAGTAGAAACGGTATAAAATGTAGTTAAAGAACCTAGATAAAAGTATCTAAGGAAAGGGCATAGGTTTTCTTTACTCAAAAAGAAAGGGCATGGGTTTTCTTCATCCAACATGAAACATCATGACACAACCTTGATCCTAAAGACCAATCAGAAACATTATAATTCCAAAGTAAAAAATTTATAATAAAAAATCCTACCTATGCTGCATCACAATCCACATGAGTAATAGCAGACAATATCTAGTAACAGAAATGCTGCGTAAATGCAGAATTTGAAGGGAAAAAAATTCTTGAGGAACACCCACTGTCACATATGCATTTAGAGGCATCCATGATCTGATACACAAACATGTGCAGAGAGGAGACAAGGCACAAACTTACATTTACTGGCCAGGAAAAGTGAAAATGCTTGGACAGTTGAAATTTCTCCATATCAAAATCTCTAACTCCACAATCGTTATTTGAAGCTATAAAATGTAGTGCACCACTGAGAAGCAAAAGATATCTTAATTAGCTTCATTGTCATTAAGAATAGTGAATGTAAGCAATATGCCGTATAAACACAATACCTGGCAGTGTTATAAATGTCAACAGCATTAGTAATGGCATTATCATCATATGTAGTCCTGGAGCAGAAACAAACTCCGGGCCTATCTAGATACTGCATATTTCAAGAACATTAATTCCACGTTAAATTAGTTTCACTTTCTGAAGGTGAAGATCAAAACAGTAAACCCAGAAGGAAACGAATTTTTTTCACATTGTTATATCATATCTTTACGTTCTACAAGAAACATTCTTCTTAAGTTCTAAGTAATATTTACTATCAGATAAATGTGCTAAAATGCAACATACAACAACAATATTACAATTTGATAATATGTGGGTCTGTCAAGTGGCAACCATATATCGACTTAAACCAATTGACATCTATCTAAAACCTAATCCTAGCCTAAAAGAAACAAGTACACAAACAAAAAGCAAAGAATAAATGCTGCCACTGTGGATGGCAAAAGCTAATCCAAGAAAAACCAAATGCAGAAACCAATGTAAGGGAATGACATACCTTGCAAATAAGTTCCCCTTGAAATCCCCCAGCAACAAGCAAGTTATCTTTCACTGCAAGTGTGCTGACTTGTGTCTGCGTAAATCCTTCTAAAAGGCTTCCAGGATGTTTCTATAATGGAAAAGAAGCAAGAAAATGTGGAAGGTTATAATTGAATGTCCTAAACTAAATGTTTGGTAGATTCCATGTCCAAAACACTCACCTCACATGGTGCTACATGCCCTGATACATTGAGAACTTCATTTTTAGCGCAAGTCAAGGATGACCAATGAATGACGGAGAAATGTGACATAAGGTACACATCATGCTTGGAAGTTGCCCAGACCAAGTTCCTCAGCTACATACACACGACAAAAACTTTAGAATAGGTTTTGTTGTTGCCAGAAAGCATGGTAGCATGCACTTTAATTACAAGTAGACAATTAACAAACATGCAAATTTAACCGATTTGTTGGCTCAACTAGGGTAACAGTATCGTGCAGCACATCAAATTTGATATAGGTTACAAACACATTATGATGCTTATCCCTGTCGCTCTGGTATTCAGTTTTTATGCCAGCAAACTGACAAAAATGTCATCTTAAAATGGTGTGAACTTGTTCTCCATATAAGGGCCTAGTCCCTCACATACAATGAAGGAAGCTGAATGTAAAGAAAAATGTGACAAGAGCCAGGACATTACCTGGAAGTGTAAAATTGTTGATTTAACAGATCGTGAATTACGTCTGAATTCATAATATAAACACTCTTTCTTTGTGGCACTGCATTCCTGTTGACAAGTAAAAAGAAACAAAGACAACAATGTCAGCAATGGGCACAGAGCTGACGAAGCAAGAAAACCACAAATACATTTACCTTCTCTGATGCCTCCCCAGATTGAGGAATATTCTCATAGTTCTTATACTGCTCTAATCTCGTTTGCCTGTATTTCTCCCTGGTTATGCTAAGCCTTTCCCAGGGGATCCCTTGAATGTCTTTGCCTCTCCTTGCCTCAGCAGCAGAGGTATCTTGCATTTTATTATTCTAATCCAGAAACAAACAATTCAAAAAATTTACACACACTCATCACAACAACTGCATAAATCTAACAAGTCCTTGTATAAATAAAAGATTTTCAGGGAGGAATTCACAAACCATGTAGTCATACTCATCTACATCTGAATCAGAGCCACCCATGTCTCTGCCGTGGAACTCATCATCCATATCGTCATCTATATCCTCCATTTCATATTCATCTGCCATGTATTCAGCATCATCTCCTGGTTGGTGCGACATGTTTTATCCTTATTAAATGACCAACAACAACATTGGCGAAGGTTAAATACACCAGAGTTGAGATAATGTGCAAGGATATACAAAGCCAAATCTAAGTATGGCACCAGACTATCACGCAGCTTTTCAGTAGTAAAGGATCAGTCAGTCGACATCCATATATTGAAAGACGGTTATCTTGTCCTTCTAACATTATGTGATTGTATGAATGCAGTGTAGACGCACATTGTGCAATAAGAAAAAAGAGAACAGAAGATAGATACAAAGAACCAAGGAGGCACGAAACATGCACAACATAGTCTTCTCTCTATCCAGCAAACTAATGAAAAGCAGCTACTTATCAAACTAAATTCCAGCCATAGGGAAGACTCCAATTTGCATAAAGGATCATAACAAGTAAACTACAATTGCTGAAATAAAATTTCCAACTCTATTTTAATGTGGTTCGAAAAGTTGAGAAGTTAGCCTAAATCACAATAGCAGACTAAATTCCAATACTCGAAGAATGGTCATGCTTCAAAATTCAACTAATACTAAATAGACTCACAGTAACGAGTTTAGCTTATATATAAAGATTTCAATCAAATCCGAGCGGAGGGAAAAACGCTAAGTGATTTCTTCCTATCTCCCAAGCATTAGTGGTAGAGTTACTTGGTAACTTGTGGGATTTCTTCCTATCTCCCAAGCATTAGTGGTAGAGTTACTTGGTAACTTGTGGGAGGTAGCAGGTATCGGTGGAATTAGTCGAGGTGTGCATAAGCTTACCCGAGCACTACCGTCATAAAAAATGGATTTCGACCAATGAAATAAAATCAATTTTTATTAGCGATAAGTGGCATGTACAGAATTACAGCTAAGGCAGTCAAAAAGAAAATCAACAAGTATTATTCCCAACTTCAAATTTTATTGCCAGCCAAAAAAGAACATTCTGGATTACTCATAGGAACGCGCAAAGTACAAACAGAGAAAATTGGTCCAGACCGTAAAATCTAATACGAGTTCACGAAATCCACAATTAATCAAACCCTAAAACTGGCGAGAGCTTGAAGAGTGATACAAGGAGATTAATTATATGCATAATTACTGCCTCAAAGGCTGATTAACCATAAAGAACATAACACACAAATGAACCCTGATATTTCACAGAGTAAAATTCACATTCCAAAAGGGGGGAAAAGGAAAAATTGTTAATTACAATTTACAAACATAAATATAAGCGTGCAATTGTTTATAAAATTCTGACCTTAAGATAAAAGAGAACGCAGAAGAAAGGCAAAAACGAGCTCAGTTTAATATCGACCCGAAATTAGGAAGAAAAAATCAGAGGGTATTATTATACATGAGAATTAGATTATTAGTTAAAGTAAGAAATTAAAGCTGTTTAAGGCCAGTAGATCGTGATAGGTTTGGAAGAAAGAGAATACGTAATATCTATCTATCTTTATCCACTACTTCTCATGATATGATATGATGGTCCCTACTCCCTACTAAAATGTGCACTGAAAGTTACAGCTTCGCCGTTAATTTTTTGTTTAAGTAATCTGCCCAAGTCGGTTACACAGAAGGTAATCCATCGTCCTAAATAAAATACTGCCCCCTCACTGTGCCCTCATTTTAAGACGGTGTGTAGTATTTGTTATTCTCGCTGGAATTTTAATAGTATAAGATTTAATGAACTTCATTCATCATTAGTTACACTTCAGGGTGCCTCATTTTTTCCTGAAATAAACAAAAAAAAAAGAATATTGTAAAAATTTAAGTATATATGTGAACAATAACAAAAAGTTATGCTATTAATATATTTAATCAATTATAATTGATATCATAAGAGAACATCCGATATGGATGCGTTTGCCACGAATTCTGATGATCATAAAGATATGTGTACATCCGACATAAGTGTGTTAGCATTTCAATTGAAAAATTCTGAATTTGATGAATTCATGGGAAAAAGAAAAAAGAGAACATAATCAATCTTACTATAATACGTTTAGTTGGTTATAAAGTAACTTTGATCATTTAAGAATTCTTGATGATTGTATTATATCAATACATGACCAGAAATTTTCAATTTCTATTAATAAAGAAAAGCACAACATTATATAGGTCAGTACTAAGATGTGAAATATCCTTAGATATAGTAGAAAGTATTGTTAGAATTCATGGACTGTTTACCCTAAAATGCTAGTAACAATTAAACTTGTATTGTGATTTTAAAGATATGTGCTTTAATCCAATACTAACTGATAAACAAGGAATCAAATGTATAAATTAAAGAGTAAGGTAAGTCAAAGCAGTGTGTAAGCAAATCTCGACCTCGAGTTATGGCAACCTCGAGGTAGGTGAATAAGAATAATAAAATAATAATAAGGCAACTCAGATGAACAGTAAGCAAGAAAGTGATGTATGTATATTCTCTTGTCAATGATTGATACATTACAAATGATTTCGAACTTATTCTCGAAGCGACCCCTCGAGCCTACGAAATTGGGCATACCTGATTTCGACCGTATATAAATAGTCCCCGCATTTCTTAGAGTAAGATGATAAGAAACGATTTGATCCTTGATCCTCTGATGCCTCGATCATGATGTCAATCCCGTGACGTCAGCGACAGAAGTGATTGAAAGGTCGCGTCTGCATAGTTCCCAAGGTCATTAATTAAAGGCGGCTGATGGTCGGCCATTGGCTTCCCCAAACCGTTGAAGCGACCACTATAAATAGGCCAATTTCGCAACCTTTGCAATCTTTATTTCTCAAACCTTTCCCAAATCTTTACTAACTTCTTCATCTTCTTTGAGTCCATCTTATTCTTCAATTTTTCCTTGTTACAACATCAAGTTCTTCTCTTCTCTTGAGTTTCACAACAGTGATGGCTAAAACATCTAAAACTGTTCCTCAGAAAGAAAAAGCTTCCTCATCATCGCGGTCAGCTGATAGTAGAACGACGGTGGCACCTTGTATTGAGGACTGCATTCCTGGGCCATGCGAGCTATCTTCCGATTTCAAAATCGATAAGCCTGCATCAGTTCCAGGTTGATGCGAGCCTATGTCTCGATACATCTGCTCGATAATTGAAAACGATCTTGAGCAGGTGAAAAATGACTGCAATTGGGAGGATAAGGAGGTGGTGATTCCTTCCCCTGAGGAGGACATCACCACCCATGTGGAAGGATATTTAAGCGTGTATACTTATCTTTTCACACTGGGTCCCGTAGACCCAGTTATTCTCGATTTCTGTCATCAATATCGAGTGACACTTGGCCAGATCTACCCTTCTTTCTGGTGCATTGTCAATTTGCTCAGGTATTTTTCGAGCAAGGTCGAGGGGATGTATTTTACCCTCGACCATCTGATCAGGCTATACTGCCCTCGCCTCTATCGAGGTGCATTGATAAAGCTCCAGCGTCGATCCTCGAAGGCGTTGTTGTATCATCAATGAGGACAAAGACCGAGGATAGATGGGCCGGTTAGTCCGAATCAAGACCTCCGACCTAATTCCTGCCAAAAGGATGCCATTCCCCGAGGAATGGAACATGAAACGTAATTACAATCCCATCGATAATGCTCAGTACTCTGCCTTCTCTATTCTTCTTTAATCTAATTTCTTTTTGATGGTGCGGCTTCCCTTTGGTTTCCTGGTGTGATTCCGGACCTCACAGGTTGGGTTCAACAACTGGCCTCCACTTCTTCACATGCTGAACGCAATTGGTACGATTTGGCCAAGGGTCGGTGGGAAGCTAAAAACCATGGTGAGTTCCTTTGTTCATATGTTGACGTTTCTCTGTAAAATACTTACTTTCCCCTTACGTAGGCCTCAGAGACACTGTTGTTATGAGGCCGCCTCCGCCCGGTGAAGAGGAAATCCCGAAGCCAACCAAAGAGAAGAAAAGGAAAAAGGCTTCACCACCAAGTTCCCCAAAGCCCAGAAAAAATAGGGCTCGAAAGCCTAGGGTCGATCCTGTAGACCTATTTGCTGACGTGATCAAACAACTTCGGGATAAAGAGGAAGAAGGAGAGGATGCCGACTACTTGCTGGTAGCTCGGAAGAAGGGAAGCACTGAAGCTCCAAAGGCCACTGAACTGCGGTGGCTGATGTGGTTCAATCTCAAACCGAAGAAATCTCGGAGGGGGGCTCAAGTACAGTCCCCAAGCCATCGGATGATAAAAACGCACCTCGTCGTGAAGGACAACTGGCGGGTGATCCCGAAGGGCATATTTTCTAGGCCCTCCAAAGAGAAGAGAATGTCCCAAGTGAATCACTTGGGATAATTAACATAGATGAATTGCCGCCTGACCATGTGTTCTCTGAAGGGTAGTTTCTAGATGCCCGGGCCATGAAGACTCACGACGTAGGGATGACCCATGAAGGGAATGATATTTTCCGGGAATGCTTTGTGGGGGTCGAAGATGGTCCCGACCCGGATGCTTCGTTTATTTTTGACGAGGCTCAACGGCTTCTTAAACAAGTAAGTTTTTGCCTCCATAATTATGTTCATGTTTTATTCTCGTTTTTCTAAGTCCGATTTCTTTTCTTTGTGTGAAGGCTGTGACGCTCCATCGACAAGCGTTAACCAAATCTCGAGCCGAGCTTGCCCGATGCGAAGCTGAAATCAAGAAGCTCGTGGAAGAAAGGGACGGCCTCAAACTCCTCTACGTTCAAAAAGAGGAGGAGATTGGGGACCTTCGAGCCGACTTGACGAAGGCTCGTCGAGAATAGACTGAGCTCATTGAGCAGGTAATGTAACTTTTTGGGAGTTTGTTATGTGTTTATTTGACTTACCAACTAACACTTCGACTTTGCAGGCCAGCAGAAGGGCGAGCTGGTGGAGCAGCTTCGAGAGGAGGTCAAGGCGAAAGAGGCCGAGACCCTAGGGTAGAATCAGCATATGGATCATCTTGCCTTGGAGAAAGACACGCTTCGGGCCCAGCTGGCTTCAGTCGAATGCCAACTTCAAAATGTGAAGGGGGAAAACTTGGCCCGAAGCCAGAAGATTGATGAGCTCGAAGCTAAGTCAGCTGCCGAACTTGCAAAGGCTAAATCTCAGGCGGGGGCATTTGTGGACTCTTATCGAACTGACACCGAGGCTGCCAATATTTGGGCACAGGAGATCTCTATTGCTGCTGAAGTCAAATTATCATGCATCGTTGACCAGACCAGGCGACAATCCTGGAGAGAGACTCTCGAGGAAGTGCACGCTCGTGGCTTTGACCTCTTAGCTGATATCGAAAAGGAAAAAACTTTGGAGGACCATGCTGTCACTTTACTCTCTGATGATAAAGACTCTGCTAGTGATTCCGAGAGCGGAGGAGATGAGGACGCAGTCCCCAAGGAGGAGGTTCTCGAAGATGTGGCTCCTGAAGATGCAGCTCCAAAAGTACACTAGGCCCTTAGGATTTTGCTTCATTTTTTGTGTGTAAGGCTCCTTGTGGGCATTGTAAATACTTTTCATGTATATAAAGAATTATTTTTCTTTCCGCTCTATCTTCGATTTGTTGTGAAGTCTACTTCGTTTTTGTTTTGTGAATTTTTTTGATGTTATAACTTCAATAATCGAGTGAGCACTGGCTCGGAATCGGAGTAAAAAAAATCCCTAGGTTTTTTAGTAATCGATGGGCAATCTTATAATAGAATACCTCTTATGGTTTTTTGAAGAATCCTCAAGTTATGCTTAATTCGATTTTAAGCGAGCTCGGGATGGTGGGACCCTTATGTCCGAGTTGAGTAAGAATAAAGTCTCGAACTCTAAATGTTTTGGCCCTTAGGATCTTTTATGTTGGGCCGATATGGCCTTTAAGAGATGGCTATTATTTCACCTTTTCGGCTTAAAGACTTAGTAAAAATTTCTTTATGCCTTGGCATGCATTATTTACCCATTGGGTTTTCTGAGGGTTTAGTGTCGATCAGAACCTTTTTGTGTTTTTGTGCCTTAGCACCAGTTTGTATTTGAATGATTCGAGACCTCTTAAGGTTTTTTGAGGGATGATTTTATTGAAGCCCTTTGATTATTTTGCCGAGGGTAGCCTTTATTAACCGGTTTTCAGAGAATTCGAATGCCTATTTTTATCGCGGGATTCGAACGTCTTCGAGTCACGTTATTTCGTCGTAGCCTTTATTTCGACCGTAGCCTTTAGTATGGACGTAGCCTTTGGGTATGCCTCTTGGACTTATTTCCCGATAACATTTCGAACTTGTTCGAAACGTTAGTCCCCGAGTATAATGGACTTGGCCTTTACGTCGAGGAGTGCCTCTTTGAAGTCTTATGAATCCAAGTTTAGATAACTCGAGTGTGTTGATTGTCGATGACAGTCCCCGAGTATTCAAAGTGTATTTGCGTTTTGGCCCTTGAGCTGTTACTCACAAAATCACAAGTATGGAGCTCGTATAGTAGCAAATTTCTTTGAGACAGAAAGTGTTTGATATAGACCGAATGCTTCTTTGAATAATTCATACATA